AGGAACAACAGCCACAAGTTAACTGAGATTCAGCTTAGATATCAGGAGGCGCTACTTCACAGTCAGGATGGCCAGGATCTGAAACCAGCTTCCAAGCTCTTTAAAAGGAGGCTTGATAACTACCTAGCTGGGGTCATTTGAGCTTAAACTTAGTAGGGGTCATAACAGCCCTGTATTCATTTCTGCCCAGGGCAGGGAGTCGGACTAGATGATCTGCTCAGGTCCCCTCCGACCCTACTTCTATGAAACTATGAAACTGGTCCAGCGCTGAAAAGTATTTGGCCGTCTTAGAGGATTTCTTCTCAGTGGCCATGCTGAAGAATCGTCCTCAGGCTGTAGCATGCCTGTGGGTGCTTTAAAGCCTGGCTGGCTCCTGGACTGAGCCTACATCAGGGACTCAGCCTCCAGTTTGCTCTCCACCAGCCCCCGCGTTTCAGGACACAAAGGCTTCCCCTCTCCCCACTTTTCTGTTCTTGCAGCTTTTCTTTTGGGTTTTTTCCCCACTCAGCAATCTCATGGGGCCCATACTTTTTTGTGGAGCCTACAATTTTTCACAGAGAACACCTGAAATCATGGTTTCCACAAAAATCACAAAATCACAATTTTGATAGGTCCCTACTTATAAGACCTTGTAACACACATTCCTTATTCTGGATGATTCTGAGCCACAACCAAAAATAGAAAATTCTATTACAAAATATGTTAAAGGAATCTGTTAACCTCAAAAACTTTGTTTGATTAAGTATCCAAATAGATGATGATCTATATTTTATCTGAACTATTCGTGCTTCTGAAGTATGCAAAATTGGGGTGAAAATCTCATCACCTTTTGGCTTCCTACTGAGCAGAGAAATTGCATGTTTGATTATATAAAGACTTCAATCAGCTAATTATTATAAACTGCAGGTTGGCAGCGCATTTGGTGGAGGTGGAAAAGATGTAATTTCAAAAAAGCAATAAACAACAAAATTAAGATTAATTTTGATTTCCTTACAATGAATTCTAACAAAACACAATTATTCCATTTCATATCATGTGCAAGAAGACAATCACAGTTCTGTAACCTTCAGAGAAGGGATTAAGTATGTGTTAAAATTCATGACAAACAGAGCTTTTGGTCTGCTTTTTCATTTATTTTAATGTGATACAACATAGCAGGCAGAGCAACAGTACAAAGACATTTTTGACAAATTCAAAAATTTTGCAGCTTCTAAGAGCACATTACTATACCAGGTATTTAAATGTTAGGTGTGGATGCTTTTAGAGAATTCCGAAAATGCTGAGGGTCCTTTTCTTCAACATACACATTCTGTTTGCAAATAATGACATCAAAATACAATACTAAATGTACAAAATCAGTATTCACTTTTTTATACCCTGTAGATATCATGCTGGAAAAATAATGCAAACAAAAATTTTCCAGTTGTGTTACAAATTTTCTCAAGACTGAAATGAATACTGTCAACACAGACACATTACAACAATTATACTGCAAAATATCTCTTGTTTTGATAGTAACAGAACCAAACTCTCAAGCCCCTCTATACATGTTTGCTCATGTTAGGTAAAATCCACTCTTGCATAAAAGTCTAGCACAAGATTTTATGGGTGTAAATGAAACTAAAGTGGTGCTTTTCCCAGCTCTCTGAATGATGTTGAATTTCACTTTTAAGAACAATTTTCTTCAGGCAATAAAACAAAACACACAGTTTATATAGTTTCTTTCTCACTTTCTCCTTATAAAATAAATTATATGAATAAAGGAAACTTTTGGAAAAGGAGAATTGCCTTTGGCAAGTGGCAAAAGAATAAATTTATGTTCTGTTCTTTCACAATGGAAAGTAAATTATATTCCTGGTTTTACTATAACAACAGGCTTCAATGGAAACGTTATCACTGACTTCGGTTGAAATGGAAGCAACTGCCTGGCATGCCATTAGGGAAGGCAATCTTTTCCGGCTGCAGGCTTTTATATTTTTTGTGAAAATGTTTCGCCTTCCAAGCCAAATCAGCCAAATCAATTTCAAATCTGAGAGTCAGTCAAGAACCATAAGTGGCCCTACAACTGGCAAACATCCTCCACCCCACCTGCGGCTTCAGATGTGTCCAAATCCTTTGGCACGCATCCTACATGCATGCCTGGAGGCATGGGGTTTGGATGCCCCTGAGTTTTGCTTGCCCTCAGCCATATGGCTACAGGCATAGGCAACTGGTAGGGAGGACATGGGGTGGAGGGGGGGCACGTGCCCCCCCCCGCCGACAGGGCCATTGCCCACTGCTGCCGGTGGATTCTGTGGGTGCTTGCCAGCCCCGCCCCCGCTGCCAATGCCACTGGTGGCTTCTGCAGGTGCTCGCCAGCCCCATCCCCACCGCCGGCTTCTGCGGGTGCCCTCCCAGACTCAGGAGGCACCAGTTGCCTATGGCCACAGAAGCAAGCTAGGGAGTAGTCTCCTTTTTCCATAAAGTGAGCGTAAAACTACATTACCTCTTCAGGTACTCCTCTGTGCCAGGAAAATGGTTATCCCCAGGTGCAACACCGCCTTGTTGGCCACAGTGTCTCCAAGGGAACCTAATATAGCCCATCTGAATAAAATAACCCACCCTGGGTCAGAGGCAGACAGGAGGGTGGGTGCTAGGACCCACTCACCACTGGTGATTGTCCCTGTGGCAGCAGGGTGATAGCACCCACAACTAGTGCTCATCCCCGTAGCAGCATATGGAGATTATCTGCAGCCAAAGCCCCACATCCGCAGGCTTGATCCAATAGCTTCCTGGGCCATAGGTTGCTGACCTCTGAACTTAAATATTTTAATTTTCTTTTCTCCAAGTTCATCAAATAGATTTGAAGTGCTGATGAACTAGCAATGGGTTGAGATGGGGCACTGGCCTTGTGATTTCAAGCACCTTCAGCAAAATAAATCTCTGGAACATTAAAGGCCTCAACCACAACTAGGGTTTGAATTACAGGGGGACTCGAAGGGGCTAAACCCCCTCATAAGAGACGAGAGCCTCCCAGCAGCTGGGCAGAAACTGCTGTTTAGCATGGGTGAAAAGCAGCCTCTCCTCCTCGTTGCTGCCAGACACATTTTTGCTGCAGCAGCCCAAAGCCTGCTCCCAGGCTGCCCTGTGGCTTCTCTCTGCCACCGCCTCCAACCCCACCGCCAAGAGTAAAAGTATAATTCAAACCCTGACCACAACATGGAGGATTGATCCTGAGGAGTACTGTCCAATGACTCTTCCCAAATGCCTGCCTTTGTGCGTGATCAGTATCAGCAATTCTCAGGATCAGGCATGGATGGGCATGAGGCCCTGTACAAATGCACCCTTGGTAGAGAGACCAATGCAAGGCATACTGGACACAGACAAGTTCATTCTGTTTACCTCTTGGATAAAGAAATCCAGTAAAAAGAATATATTTTGATTTTCAAAAAAACCCCACCTTCTGGTAAGGTGCCTCACCAAAGGCTCTTAAGGAAACTGAGCCATTGTGCAATCAGAGGGAACATCCTCTTACGGATCAAAAACTGTTTAAAAGATATGAAACAAAGGTTAGAACTGATAAATGATCATGTTTTACAATGGAAGAGGAAAACAGTGAGGTCTTTCAAGGATATGTTCTGCGACCCAGGGTGATCAACAGTACGTTATACTTATATGAGTGTCAATGAGTACAAAACTTGCTCAACTACAATGCCAGTTCCAATTGTTTCCTGTTTCTTGCATTATAACAAGCTTTGCTTATCTGTGTATCAGTTAAGTGTACACACATCTTACTTGCATCGCATCTTTCCGCCCCGCTGTCTACTTCCTAATGCAATACTGCAGTTAACTGCAGAGAAATGGTGAAGGGGAAACATCTGTCATAGTGATACTGAAGCCTTGAAAATGACAGAAGCTAGTAAGTTTTACATCTACTATTAGAAGCCCTGAAAATGCTGCTGATCTGTTTCTGGACTGCAGTCTCACCTAAAATATAAACCGTTGATGGAAAACATCTGCGTGGCATTAAAGAAGCCCATCTTGAATTCTGCAGGCCATCCTGGTTGCCTTGTCTCCAAAAAAGAAAGGATAAAGTAGAACTGGAAAAACAGGAAAAATATAAACAAAAGCAACAAAGGTGATTGTGGGGTGAGGAATGACTTCCACAGGTGGAGACTGAGCAGATGAAGATGCTTTATCTGGGAAAACAGATGGCAGCAGGGCAAATTTATACCTTATAGACTAACCAAAGTGCACATTCATCCATCCACATGTGCACAACAAGCTTTTGTAGGCTTCATCACAGGCGGTGATAGATAATACGACCACATGGGAGAGGTCTGTAAAAACCACGGATGATGGGGACTAGCGGCTGCTCGAAGGCCTGTCCCCCCCCCACCCCCGTAAATTCTCTGATCAACCATCTCAGGCAAGACCTAGGGAGCAGGTTTACATCTGATTGAAGGAAGCACTTTCTTCACTGGTGGAACTCATTGCCACAGCAGACCTGGGATGTGACCAGGTTGGAGATGGGGGCCACTGGGAACAGTGCTGCGGTCTGACTCCCCAATGCAGGCTGAAAGGGCAAGGGGTGGTCACCCTACACAAGCCTGGCAACGGGCAAGACAGGCTGGGCACACCCACGCGGTGCTCTTTGCTGTGCTCTCCCTCCCAGCCAGCAGCTGTGGACACTGCCACCCCTGCACTGCCAGGAGACACCACCCCTGCCCTCCTGCAGGCTCCCTCCTGCGCATGCGCTCCACCTCCCTCTGTCAGCCCCGCCCCGTTCCATTCTCATCGCGCCTGCGCGCCGCTTGCTTGTCCCAGCCCCGCCCCTCCGCACACTGCGCCTGCGCATCTCTGCTTCCCTCGCCGCAAGCACCTCCCTCCCGCGCTTCGATGGCGCTACTGCGCCTGCGCCTAGCGCTGCCCTTTCCTTCACCCCCACCCGCCTCGTTCTCCCGAAGATTCGCGAAGGTTCCGGAAGGCCCCTCTCGGCTATTTCCGGCCCGGCACCTCCTCCCTCCCTTCCTCCCCTCTCTCCTTCCTGTCTTCCTTCCTTCGTGCCGCCGGCGCCGGCTCGCGTGCTGCGCCATGGCCCTGCTCTGCTACAACCGCGGCTGCGGGCAGCGCTTCGACCCCGGCACCAACACGGAGGGTGAGAGGGGCCCAGAA